ATGGCTAACTGAGCTATAAAAATTATTAGGTTTTAGTAGGTGGGATGATTGTGAGGATGGCGCAGGACTGGGCAGTGTTTCATTCTGTTGTACATAGGGTTACTGTGAGTCAGAACCGACCTGACGGCACCTAACAACAACAACAGGTGGCATAGGACTTTTCTTATGTAGGAAGATATAGTGGGTAAGAACATAGGTTTTTAGAGTCAGACTGATTTGCTTTGTAATTGGCTCCATTATTTACAATGGGGTGTTACTTGAACTCTCTGAAGTGCTTAACACAGTGCCTGGCACACATTAAAACCAAAAAGCAAACCCGTTGCCATCGAGTTGACTGTGACTCATAGCTACCCTATAGAACAGAGTAGAACTGCCCCCATACGGTTCCAAGGAGTGGCTGGTGGATTCAAACTGTCGACCTTTTGGTTAGCAGCCATACACTTAACCTCTGCAACACCAGGGCCCCTGGCACACATTAGACATTTCAGAAAATGAAAGCTGCTTCTAGTCTCCTGTTGTTTGAACTCACATTATTATTAAACTATGTAAGCAAAGGCAGAGCAGTATGAAAATATAGAACATGTTGTTTTCTGAGACTCGTCATGTGACTGAGTAGGATGTGTGTATGTTTGGGGGATGGTTTGGAGTGTTGGGAAGTACAGTGAAAAAGTAGTGTAGTAGATGCTATTGGTCCTCACGTAGGTCCCCCGAACTAGCTGAGGAACCTATCCCCCAGCTGCTGTGAGTGTTGTCTGCTAATGGCTTAGAGCTGCCCCCTTCTTAAGAGTATTGTCCTAGGCCAAGGAAGCTGCCTAGCTCAGCTGGTTTCTCCCCGCCCCATCCTGCAGCCAGTGATGGACAGATAATGAGATACAAAAAACCCCAGGCCCTTTGCCTCAAGGCACCTCCAACTAAGTGATGCAATTCATGCTTTAGAGCTCCCTGTAGGAGCTGAGACCCTGTGTCCACTTAGCTTATTTCCCCTGCTCCATTCCTGGTGGCACAGTGGTTAAGAGATTGGCTGCTAACCAAAATGTCGGCAGTTTGAATCCATTAGCCGCTCATTGGAAGCCCTATGGGGCAGTTCTGTTCTGTCCTATAGGGTCACTATGAGTCGAAGTTGACTCGACGGCAACAGTTCTTAATTTTTTTTGGTTTTATTCCTCTACGGGAGTCCTAATGGCACAGTGGCTAAGCCCTCGACTGCTAACCAAAAAGTCGGTGGTTTGAACCCACCAGGTGCTCTGCGGGAGAAATATGTGGCAGTTTGCTTCCATAAAGATTACAGCCTTGGAAACCCTATGGGGCGGTTCTACTTTGCCCTATAGGGTCATTGTGTTTGGAGGAGAGTCGGTTGTAGTTGGAATCAGCTTGATGACATTTGGTCATGATCCCTCTCTAGGAGCCTGGGTGTCAAAAAATGGTTAAGCCCTCGGCTGTTAGCCTGGAGGTCTGCTTCTGAAAGATCACAGCCTTGAAAACCTGTGGGGTTCTGTTCTGCACATATAGAGTTACCGTGAGTTGGAACTGACAACAACAGCAACATTCCTCTCTACTTCTGATAAAATTCTCCTGATAAAATTCCCTCAATAAGTAATTTGTACAAGAATCCCTGCCTCAATCCATCAATCCCTGTCTACTTCTGTGGGCTCCCAATTAAGACAAGTGCTTTGGGCTAGATGGGAAAGGTCCTTGGTTGCTTGGCTTAGATTTCTGAGTGCTATTTTATAGGCACTGGGAGCCTATTGCATTGTAGAAGAATCATTTTAATAAAGAGTGCCACGGAAAGAGGCTTGTTATTGTTGTCATTAGTTGCTATTGAGTTCATTCCTACTCTTGGTGACCCATGTGTGCAGAGTAAAACTGCTCTATAGAGTTTTCAAGACTGTGACCTTTCAGAAGTAGCACAGTCATTAGGTGCTCGGTTGTTAACCAAAAGGTTGGCAGTTCAAACCCACCAGCTGCTCTGCTGGAGAAAGATGTGGCAGTCTGCTTCTGTAAAGATTTACAGCCTTAGAAACCCTACGGAGCAGTTCTGCTTTGTCTTGTAGGGTCGCTATGAGTCGGAATCAACTTGATGGCAGTGGGTTTTGGTTTCTGACCTTTCGGAAGTAGATTGCCAGGCCTGTCTCTCAAGGCTTCTGTGGGTGGGTTTGAACCGCCAACATTTTGGCTTAACTGTTGGCACCACCCAGTGACTCCTAAAATGGAAGCTTTTATATGATCTAATTAAGGAATGATAAATGCCTCAATCAGAGTATTTGTTAGGGAGTAGGAAAAAACTGAGAAGTCTTAGATAATTTGAATGTGGGGAGAAGGAATCAAAGGAGTTTTTAGATGTGATGATCAGGCAAATAATTATTTCAGCTGAAAAAACAGGACTTTGGAGAAAGCTAATGAGTTCAGTTTTGGCTAAGTTGAATTTAAGGTACTTTTGGATCCCTGGGTAGTGCAGATGGTCACGTGCTTGGCTGCTGACTGAAAGGTTGGTGGTTCAAGCTTACCCAGAGGGGTGCCTCGAAAGAAAGGCCTGGAGATAGACTTCTAGAAAAAAAGCAGCCATTGAAAACCTTATGGAGCATAGTTCCTCTCTGACACACATGGGGTTGCCATGAGTTGGAATGACTATGGAATATCATAGGTGGAAAAGTTCAATAAATAGTGGGAAATACCTGTCTGTAGTATGGAATGTGGGGTCAGGTTAACAGCATTAAGGTGATTGTTTAAGTTATAAACATTGGGAACTTATCATTTGGAATGCTTTCAGCTGCAAGTAACAAAATTTTGACTCAGACTGGTTGGTTTCAGATTAAAGAGGATTTATTGGCTTATGTATCTAAAAATCCAGTGGTAGGGTGGGTTTCATGGGTGATTTGATCAGGATTCTGGCTCCATTTTTCTGTGATTATTTTCATTCCACCACCTTCATGTGTCAGTTTTGTTCTGAGTCTTGCTTTGTTCATGGAGGCAGAGTGACTCCACTGATTCCAGAATTCCATTAGCAAACTGCGTATTCTAGAAGAGAGAGCATTTGTTCCTGAATTCTTGGCAGGAGTTCTAAGCATTGGGCTGATTGATCGGTTTTGGGAAGGGGTATTGTTGCAAAGGGAAGGAGATTACCATAATTGGATGGGTTTGAACTGCCAGCCTATCCTGTTAGTAATCAAGTGCTTAACCAATTGCATCATCCAGGGACTCCTATCAGTCAGGGCTCATCCCTGGAGATGGGATAGGCTCAGGCCGACACAAAGAGCATAATTGCTATACCAGGAGAAGGGGTGGTATGGATGTTTGGGAGAAGAGCACAAAGTTCACTCTAATCATCTTACTCATAAGGGACAGACAGGGGAAGAGTCAGGAAAACAGAGGAGAATAATGAGAGAGTTGGGAAGAGAGCCCCAGAGAAGTGCCTTAGCCCAGGGTGGAAAGGGTTGTAAAGAGGAAGGACTAAAACACTGTCTACTCAAATAGCCACTGGATTTGATAGGAGGTCATTGGTGACCTTAGAGCAATGTCTCTAGCCTGGGGGGATAAAAGTCAGATTGTTTAAGGAAATATGTGGCAATGGTATGGAAGCAGCAAGGATATACTATCTTTTAAAGGGGAAAAAAAAAAACAAAAACAAAAACAAAACCTATTGTCGACTCACAGCGACCTATAGGACAGAGTAGAACTGTCCCAAAGGGTTTCCAGGAAGCAGCTGATGGATTTGAACTGCTGACCTTTTGGATAGTGACTAACCTCTTAACCACAGTGCCACCAGGGCTCCATGTTTTAAAAGAATTAGGTGATAAGTAGAAGGTGGTAGTTTAAGGAAGAACTTGAATCAGGGGAGGTTAAAAGTAAATTTATAAAAATGATGATGGGAGATTTTGGACCATGTTTGTGGGATGAGGGAAATGAGTTTAGAGTTTGAGTCAGATAGCCTCAGTTTGAGCTCTGGCTCTAAAGACAGCTTGAACGGCCCTGGACAAATCATTCAGTCTTTTTTCAGCCTCTAATGAGTAATAACCATAATAAATGTTTCACAGGGATGCTGTAAGGGTTAAGCAAGATAGTGTTATGTGAAGGAGATTTGCCAACTAAACTGTTATACAAATATTAGTTGATAGTAGGCAAATTGTTAATGTAAACCCTATTTTTTCAAAAAAGAATATAAGGTATTATAAATACTAGTATGTAGAGCTGAAAGGTATGAGAGAGAGAATATGAGTGAATGAATGAATTCATAGAATGTGGTCCTTGTTCAGAATTAGTTATTTCCCTTTGTATGGCTACATGATTCTGCAAAGCCAAAAGCCCTTAAATTTTGTGTAATTTTTGTTAGCAGTATTGTGGGTCTCTTGACTTGCATACATGTAGGTTCAGTTCCTTTTGGCATGAGAAGAAAGGAACACTGTATAGAATGTTCATTTTTTTGGTTTTGAAGATGACTTTTATATGAGGTGGTTGTGAAGTTTAGTGATAATAATAAAAATGTTTAATAGTAGCAGGTACTGTGCAGACCACTTTATATATCCTTAGCTAGTATATGATTGATCTTAGCTTTGTCTGACCCCAAAGCCAATGCTTTTAGCCGCTTTCTAGTCTAAAAATTCTTGGATTCTTATTTAATCAAGCTGGTAGACGTTTTACAATCATTAAAGACAATTTTATTCCTATACATTTCTTTTCTTAAGGTTGAATAGTGCCTTTTCCTATGCTTAAAATTTTAAGCAGTCTGATATATTGAACTGTAATAGGGAGAACAGCAATACCTTATAAGTAACGGTGAAGATTAAATGAGCTAAAAAGACCTTAGAATGGTACCAAGCACAGTTAATATTAGCAGCTATCATTATCATTATTGTTATAATTATTAGTTCTTTATAAATACTTGACATATATGAAAAAGCAGTAAGTCAATGGGTACTTCCGCATAAAACAGTTTTTGAAAAAGTTTGAGATTTAATTTTGAATAAATTAAGAAACAATAATACATTTCCTTAACTACAGCTCAGATTCTATGCTGGTTTCCATTGTGGGGATGGCACTGTACACAGGATACGTCTTCATGCCACAGCACATCATGGCGATATTGCACTACTTTGAAATTGTATAGTGACCGAGATGTGACCAGGATCCAGAGGTTCCTTAGGGAGGAATCGCCCTCCGAAGTTGGAATGGGACTTCATCAGATGTCATAAGAAACTACTAGATGTCAACATAACCAACCTTGTGAATATAAAGACTAAAATTCATGAGTAGAACAGGAAGATAATCCTGACTCATGTGTTGTGTTCTTTATTTTTAATTTTAAAAGAGACTCTTGTATAGTAATTTTTGTCTATTTTAACATTGTAGTCATTTGTACTTTGATATCAGTATTTTCTTAACCTTTGTGACTGTTTCAAGATTACACCATGGAAGCTTTTATTAATGTAACTTTGAGTACATTTTAATTGCCTTCTATTTTTAAAATTCAAAGTCATTAGTTGGGCTTTACTGCTCTTGCTATTGTATGGCATATACATCAGCCTGAATATATTTCTACACTTGACCAAAGTTTTATAAGAAACAATACAAGATTTGGGGCAGGGGAGAGGGGAGGGAGGATATTTTATTGAGCACTACTTACAAAAGACTTATCTGTAAGTTCGAACTCAGGAGTACAGTTTTAGCTATCTATACTCCACTCTGTTTAACAGCTTTTGCTTTAAAACTATTAAAGTGTTTCTTAACAATGAAAAACAGATCCTGCTAAAGTTAAAATAAAGGAACATTTCACCTTTTAAATATTTAATTTTTATGTGGACTTATTTCCAGAAAACTTTGATGATGATTCTCGTGACCAAAGGTTCTCAAATGGTTAAGTAGCATTATTATGTAATGCTTATATACCATAGAGTTTTTAATAGAAGGTGAATCAGTTTCCTCTGAGGGCCACTGTTAACAGTGTACTTCCTTAAATTTAGTTTCATGATTGTAATGGGTGCTGTAAATGCATTTGCACATTACAATAAGAGATGATGAGATGAATTGTTAAAAACTAGAGCAAAAAGAAGTATAAATTTGGTTAAAATCCTTTCATTCTTTGTATTTTTTTTAAAGATTTCTATTCCTTAAATGTAAAATGACTACCTAATTTTTTTGATGTAAACTCATTAAATTCAAAGAGAAAAAAAATCGACCGATATGTAGCAGTATACTTTTTTCTTTATGGTTAAATAATGATCCAGTATTTATATTTCTGAACTGATTGCTGTGGAGTACCAGATAAGCAGTAAGTATGTTTTAACATGTCTCCCAACATAAAAATATTGTTAATTAAACAAAAAAATCAGGCATTAGGCATTATATATTTTAACATGTTTTCCAGCATAAGTTTTGCTAATTTTAAAAAAACTAGATATTTTTGGCACTGAATTTTAAAGACTAGATTTTTGAAGTGTTTTCTAGTCCAGAGGTACAAAGTAATAAGTAAAAGTTTAGTATTTTATAGTCAGTTTCTATCATCTCTATTAGCTAGGAGTGATGAGGATAATATGTAATAATTTAGTTGAAGTAATTAAAAATAATTAGCTATGGTTGTGTCTGAGCTGTATTCATGCTGTCTCAAGGAAAATTATGAATAGGAGGATTTAACTTGCGAATTGTTGTATTAATGCTCAAAGTTGGTTTTTTTCCTGTTGTTCCCCACAGAGAATCACTGACAAATGGATGCCTGATATCCCTCTGGTGAGTTGATGACAGGAGAAGTTGAGAATCACTAGTTTAGATGAGTGTCCACGTAACCTATTCTTGCCTTTTGCTCAGAAATCTTTATTTGTCCCTACTCCTTGCTGAAATGCATTAAATTGCTATTGTATGGCTGATGATTGTCATTAACACTGGCCTGTGAGATAGATGGAAGCCAAGCTTAGCCTTACAGGGAATCTTGAGGAGAGTCAGAGAAAGAAATAGGACCATGTCTAGCAAGAGGTTATCAGGGGAGCAGATTCTCACCCACTGATGCAACTGTCTGGTTTATTTGTTAGTGAATACCAAATAGAAGGATCATTTCCACTTGTTATGTTTAAGTATTTATTATACAATTCTCCGTGGGTCTCTCAAGCTTCTGTACATCTTGTGAGGAGAGATACAGACTGCCTTTATTCTGGACTATTTTTTCAAGGATGTTTGTGTATCAAATGACCTTGGAAGATTGCTCTCCCTGCAGATCAAAGGGCAGGTTTGCTTAGAGCTTTGGAAGATAAGAGTGTTTCCCTCTGGAACAAAGGGCCTTTTAAAAGATTTAGGTTCCTAAGCGCAAGGTTCCTCTCCTGTAATTCAACCCTCTGCATGTACAGACAGGTGTCACCTGTCCCTCTTGGCTTTGTTCTGTGGAAACTGGGGCTTGGAGAACTGGAACAAAAAAATGTTGACACTTTGGCTACTGCTGAGAGTAATAAAATTCTTTGTCTCTGATCCAGGAATCTCATGTCTTTTGCCAGCTTCCACAAGACTGTGTCAGGCTAACTTGTTAACTTGCACATAGGGCAAAATCTGAGACCCTTCACAGTTCTTGACAGTTTGGTATGAGAGTGGGATGTTGACAGAGACATGGTCTTTGGAAGAGAAAGGATGATGGCCCCATAGGCCAGGTTTGGAGATACGAGGTAACTCTCTGGGATCCAGTAGTAAATTCTCTCACCTAAGTAGTGGGTAGGTAAGGGGAATAAGGATCTCCTGCTAGCCTAAACCACTGCCATCAAGTTGATTCCGACTCACAGCGACTCTATAGGGCAGAGCAGAACTGCCGCATAGAGTTTCAAGGCTGTAATCTTTACGGAAGCAGACTGCCACCACTTTCTCCCATGGAGCAGCTGAACCACCAACCTTTTGGTTAGCAACCGAGTGCTTTAACCACTGTGCTACCAGGGCTCCCACTAGCCTAGTTGTTAATGTTCAGAGGCTGAGCAGTGAGAAGTAGTCTTTAATAGTGCCATGGTTGTTTTGTTGTTCATGCTTTTCTGGGTAGGTTGAAGAAGAGATGACAGTGAGACAAAAAGAACCACAGCCACAGCCTAAAGGTGATATAGCTGTGGCTGCTAAGCCAAAGAATCCCTAAAGCTGAAATAAATCATGTCAGCAGTGAGGAATGTGCTGTTCAATACAGATCTTTGGGTGGACTGAAAACATTAGAAGTTCATTTGGTTGAGCTGCAAGCTAGTGGCCCCTTGAAACCGAAGTTGAATGCAAAGCTTTGCTTGTTGACTCAGAGCTGCTCTCTCCTTCTGTGCCCCTGATCTCTTCCTTCCCTTCTACTCCATCTTAATCTTCATGACGGAGAAAGACGATTAGGGATAAGGCCCTGTATGCACCCTCCTAAGTATGCTGGAGAACTTCGCAGGGGAGAGATGAAAACTTATGTCTTTTGGATACAGCTACCCAATTCACTCTCCTACTTAGTCCCTTGGCGGGAAGGGACACCTGAATTTAACTCACGGGGTTTGGGTACCTTTCAAAGGAGAAGGGAAACTAATGTGACCTTGTGGGTGGGGCCCTTTGGGTGTATTCAGTGTATTGTTTCCACTGATGAATGTATAATTTGGTGTTGATGTTTTACATCCCTGTAGTATGAATTCTTGTGTCTGAGGTCATTCTCCTGATTGGGAAGGGATGCATGAAGAGATTTGCTAGTTCCTTTGGGACCCCACAACCTTTATACCCTGATGACCACCCCCCTTTTATCATTGTGGTGAAAATAAACACACCAAAACATTTGCCAACACAACTTCCACGTTTACAATACAATGACATTGATTATATTTTTCATGTTGTGCCACCGTTATTGCTGTCCTTTCTCCAAAACATTCCACCACCATTAACATAAACTCAGTGCTCCCCAAACAAAAGCTCCCCCTTTCCCTTTCATCCCTGGTAATCATTAATAATCTTTGGTTTCTATATATTTTTCTTATTTCATATAAGTGAGATCATCCTTTTGCTACTGACTGTTTTGTTCAGCATAATGTTTTCAAGGTTCATCCATATTGTGGTGTGCATCAGAACTTTATTTCTGTTTATGGCTGCATAATGTTCCATTATCCATTCATATGTTGATGGACATTTCAGTTGTTTCCATCTTTTGGCGATTGTGAAAGGTGCTGCAGTGAGCATTGGTGTACAGGTTTCTGTGCATTCCTACTTTCACTTCTTCTGGGTATATACCTAAGATTGGGATTGCTGAGTCATGTGTTAATTCTATGTTCTACTTTTTGAGGAATTGCCAGACTGTTTTCTAGTGACTGCACCGTTTTATATTCCCACCAGCAACGGATGACGATTCTATTTTCTCCACACCCTCCCACCAACACTTGTTTTTTCGATCATTGTCATTCTAATGGGGGTGAGGTGATACCTCATTGTGCTTTTGATTTACATCTCTATAAGGACTAATGTTGAACATATTTTCATGTGCTTGTTGGCTATTTGAATATTCTCTTTAGTGAACTGTCTGTTCCAGTCTTTTGCCCATTTTTTGATTGGGTTGTTTGTCTTTTTGTTGTTAAGTTGTAGAAGTCTTATATGTATTTTGGATATTAGACCATTATTGGATATATGGTACCCAAAAATTTTCTCCCAGTCTGTAGGCTGTCTTTTTACTGTGTTGATAAAGTCCTTTGATATACAAAAGTAAGTTTTATGAGGTCCTATTTATCTATTTTGTATTTTACTGCTTGAGTTTTTGTTATCTGATAATCTGTTGTAGTACACTAGGTCTGAGAGCTTTGCCACTATGTTTTCTTCTAAGAATTTATGGTTTTAGTTTTCACGAGCTGGAAGTCTTTGTGACTAAGGATTTTATCTATTGGAGTCTGGCAAAAAAAAAGGCTAGCCTCCACTAGGAGATGCCTCTTGGGTATTTGAACTCCTTGCCTTCCTTATATGACTATCAGGTTACTTCCCAGAAAAACCAGTTGCCATGATCCTGCCCCTCCCCCCCCCCCACACCAATTTTGAAATTAGCTTGCTACTGGGCTCTGACCCATGGAGGCCTTGTGAGTTTCCGGCTTTATAGTCCCAACTGGATTCACAGACAAGATGGGAAGGGTCAGACAAGCCTCATTGTCAAATGGAAATACCATATTTAAGAATGCAGCTGATCTGGCTCCAGTCCTGCACCTGACTGCAGCTCCATTGACATCTCAGCTTTAGAGGAAGCCTAGGGCAGCTAACAACAACAACAACAAATCCCTCTGGGAATACTTTTATCTCCAGTGCCACTGCCTGAAGCAAAATTGCTGACTCAGTGAGGTCCTCAATTCACAGAGATAACCCTAAATGCTTGGGCCTAGTTCACTGATGGTTTGGTGAAGCTAAAACCTGATGGTATCCACTGGGCTTCTGCCACTGTTCAGTCCCAGCGCCAGCTATGCAGAACCAAACATAGGCATGGTCATACCACTCACTGTGCAAAACTCCAGGCTGTTCTCATAGCTCTGGCCAATGCTCTCCTTGATGAAGCTTCCTATATTTTTACTGACTGCTGGGTTGTTGCCAATGACATATCAGTTTGGTCTGTCATTTGGAAAACTACAACCTGGTAAATGAAGGACATTCTTCTTTGAGGCTGCAAAATGCGATGACAAATCACATCTGCTGATTGAACTGTCTGGATCACTCATATAGAAGCCCTGAATAAGCTGCTGATTGAGACTGCACTGCCAGATTGCCACCATTACTGCCTTTATCCATCATCATATTTGGCATGGTAACATATCCACTATGTTCCTATTTCTGATGCAGAGGTGACCACCACATGCCAGACTTGTGACTCCTGCCAAAAGTTGTCTTGTGGTGATGGGGGTCCCATAGCATAGGCCATTACCTCTCCTTCCTTTGCTCCTGTCAGATTGATCTCTCAGGGCTATCTGTGGTGCCTCACTGCTGTTGACATTTTTTCAGGTTACAATATTGCATTCCAATGTGATCAGCTGACTCTGGCCATGTCATTGTGGCCCTTGAAACTAAACTGTACCAGGTTTTTAGCTTTCCAGACCATTTGTAGCCTGACAGTTGTATGGTTTTTATCATCACAAAAACTACTTAACAAGGTGCTGATGGTCTAGGTAGTCAATGGACATTCCATACTTCCTACCATTCACAGGCATCTGATATTGCTGAGTCTTGGAATGA